ATAGGTGGATCTCATAGTTATAATGGTTTCCAAGGCTAGGTATTCTTCAATCAAGCACCAGAGTTAGTTACACATGATAGATCTAAGAAAAAATAGAGAGAGAAAAGGTTCGAGAGGTTCTGATGTGTTTTGAGGTGTTTTTCTAGACTTCTTGCGACCCATACATACAAAAAAACCCTAATTTGCACTGCGTGGAGCCTAGGCGCTGAAAATCTTTTCTTTCTAGGCAACACGGTGATTGGGCACTGTGTTGTAGCGCCTGTGCGCTGTGTTGTTGTTTCAAATTCTTCGTTCTCTTTATTATTTTTGTCATAATTTCCTCCCCCGAATATCCGATTGAGACGATTCAAGATGCGTTGGAAAGATAACTCAAAAAAATACAACTGTTCTTCAGATACCATTTTCGAATTCGATCATCTACCACGTCAAAAACTGGTCTCAAGATGAATTTGAAAATCGGTGCAAAACTTTTCAGCTTGAAAGTTGATATATGATAATGTTTTGGTTATATTTCATCCATTTGATTCATTTCTTCATCCTGTTGACATCTAAAACTCTCGAATCTTCATCACAAGATTAGAAACAAGTTTATAGTATTTGTTNTCCATTTGATTCATTTCTTCATCCAATTGACCTTTAACACTCTCGAATCTTCATCACAAAGTTAGAAGCAAGTTTAGAGTATTTGCACTTTAGTTCATGAACTTTCACTTTCTTCCATTTTGGTCATTTTTCACTTATTTCTTCCAAATTACGTCATATCCATCAAATTGCCACCTAAACCAAAATATGAGATTAATAAGTATATTTTTTTTATAAAATAATCATACGAACGTATTAAATAAATAAGAAAATTATGAATTTTACATTCATATCGGTGAGACTACGTAACATTGCTATTAAAGAAACGTGTCTACCTAACATTGTTCTGAGGTCAACTTATTCTCTTAATTGTATAAGGATATTCCACGTAAATAATCTGTCCATTCAAAGTAATTAAAGCACAATCTACTGAAGCAAAAGTCAAACATCACTAA